TTTCCAAACTTTTCTTTTGGGATATAGATCACTATTATAACGAAAACAAAATATCTTATTTGGGAAACATGACATCTGCAAGTTAGCCTTCTGTATATTTTTTTCTTAAAACACTTAGAGAAAGGGTTAGAAAAATCTCCAGAGGTGAGTGTCGGGTGTAACTCTCCTCCTGCTGGTGCAGGGGCTGGGCTGGCTCACGTGGTAAATTATTACTTTCGGGTCCTGTCCCATCTTTTTGAAAGCTGAAATCTCTGATCAGTCCATCTGTTTAGGCAAGAAGCTTATGAGGAGTCCTACTGCTAAGTTCCCTTACCTTTCCAAGTCTTCTTTAGCTGTAAAAAGTTCCTACTGGCTTCAATTTGGGTGATTATTCTAATGAAAATGGCCCTTTAGGCCGTATGTTTTCCTGAGGGACCAGTATGTTGAATGTGCATTTGTTTCCGTGTGGTTTACTGTAAAGTTGACTGTAGGTGGGGCCTGTGGACACTTCAGCCCCTGACCCTATTCAGATGCACATCGACCTTTGTTCTGCCCCACATCCTTTGGATTATGCCTGTCAGGGCCAGTGGTGAAGTTGGGCTTCACAGATCTTCAATGAATGGAGTATCTACCTTCAGAAGCTAGGTTACCTGGAACATTCTTAATCCTCCTCTACATGAGGTATTAATACCAGGGTCCTTACTTGTACCTCCACCCCACCTGTACAAGGGAGTCAGGTGCGTGGCTCCTAGTCTGCCCTTCTGGTGAAGCCATCTGTACTTCTTTCCAAAAGTGTAAAATAAATGAGACCCACCTGCTCTTTATCTGATTATTGTGGAGTTTTGAAAATCACAATGACATACTGGTTCTAATGCTTTCTTTTGTATGTTATTTGATCCTTTTATCTGTAGGACTCCCATTACACCGTGGTTGGAGATGCTTTTAAGAAATGCTTTGTCAGTAAACCACACCCCAAACCAAAGAAATTTTGTGGTTTTGAGAAGAGAGCCAAGATATTCTGTGCCAGACAGGACTGCAGCCATGACTGGGGAATCCACGTGAAGTACAGGACATTTGAGATTCCAGTTATAAAAATTGAAAGTTTTGTGGTGGAGGATGTGGCGACTGGAGCTCAGAGACTGTACTCAAAGTGGAAGGACTTTCATTTTGAGAAGATACCGTTTGATGCTGCAGAAATGCCCAGACGACTTTAGGGCCTCAATCTTCAGCTACAGGTAGTAGGTCAATTTGAGTGAAGAAGCAACTACCCAGTGGGTATAATCATGGATCGCTTATACCGCTGTGAAGTTATTTTACCTAAGGCTTGTACTGAATTGAATATTTATCCCTTTACCTTCTGTTTATTTTCAACAGTTTGGCTTTTGCCCTTAACCATCTACTGTAATTTTTCTTTTCGAGGTTACCAGTAACTCTGGTTGCCAAATGCATTGGGAACTTCTTGGTCCTTCTGTTTGACCTCTGCACTTTTGGTCCCATTGGCACTTCTTTCTTGCAACTCTCCCTTGGCTTCTGTTTCTTCTAGTTCTAGTCTAGCCTCTTTTATTGGTTTTTCTTTGCTGATCC